GCTCCTAAAGCATGAAGAATAAATCTTCTAATCTTTTGTTTGTTACACTCTTATTTATGTCTGAGCAAAAATGATGTCAAATCAAACTTTCCTGTTAGGGAGAGTGATTGAAATTGGGGCACAGACAGTTCACTGGTGTCTTGTGTTCTAAGTGAAGTGTCTTCCTCTGCACTGGTGGGTAGGGCAATTGTGGTCCTCTTCAAAAATGTAATTTCTGATGTTTGAGTGACATGGGAATGAATTAGTCAGAAATTAATATTCTGATGACATGTTGAAGAGGTTTGCATGGCAACATGGTAGTTTCAGATTATTTAAGCGTTTTGCAGGAAAATTAAGTCATTTTACATTGGTCAGTCTTAGGTTTGACCACTTTCTTTTTTTTTTTTTATTCAATGTAATTTTGTTTTACAACTCTCTGTAAAATATCACTGCTTTCACTGAATTTTCTGTGTGATTAGTAGTGTAACTAGGTTTATTTTAGTTACCCTTTCCGTGGGGTATAGTGCTGCTGCATTAGATGAGGAGTATGATTCCACATATTTTTTGGCCACTTCTAAAGAGTGGTTTTTTAGTGGTTTTTTGTATCTGGTGTAGCACAGCCTATTTAAGTGTAACCCTTCAGTTTCAGTGAATACTTGCAGTACATTGCAGATTGTAGTAGGATGTGTAGACTACAAGACTAGCTGACTCATCAGTAGGATGTGTAGACTACAAGACTGGCTGACTCATCCTAAATAAACTTTCACATTGAATATCTTACCTGAGTGTAGTCAGAATCTCTGCTTTTTTTAAAAAAACTTCACTCACCAAAGAAAAAAATAAAATTAAAGAAAGCCTTGAGTTGATGATCTTTGCAAAGTTTCTGGCTCCCTCCCAAACAAACTTAAATGTTGGCTATGCTGTTTAAATTTTGTAAGATTGAAACAGACTTGGAGTTAAATTTTCCTTACCAATTTTACTTTACATGAAAATGTATTCAGAGGATGCCTTTTTCCTCCACATTCACAATTCATTGTTACAAGCACAACTGGAGGACATTGGAACCAAGTTACATTAGAACCATTGTTACATGTTTCAGGTGAACGTTACATGCTTTGCATTTTCAAGTTGACAAATTTGAAAGACAACAATTGGAACAACGAATACAGTAAAAAATTATGAAAACAAAAATGAGGCCTGCATTGAAAAACAATCTGTTACAAACTATGAAATGAAGGGAGCTTAAAGAAGCCTCTGGTTCACTCCTTCCTTCTCACTGGTACACCCACCTTCACATCCCTTAGCTTTAGGAGGTAAATAGTGAGCATAGCACTGATTTCTATAGTATCTCCAATGACTATTAGGCCAACGAAAATGATTTGAAATCACAGCATGTTCACTGTTTTTCATATAATGTGTTACCACTTACAAAACTAGGTTGCCACATCCCTGGAAGAAGCATCAGCTTTTTTTTTTTCTTGTTTCTGCAAGTAGCGTTTATAATCTTAAGTCAACAGATCTGCCTCTACACCAGTGTTACTTTTTTTCCGTTTTTTTTTTTCTTCCTAGACTGAGAAGTATACATATGATAACAAGCCATTATTAGGACACATTTTCCAAGTACAAAAAAAAAATAAAATGCAGAAAATGGTGAGTTCAAAGCTTATGTTCGAAAAAAAAAAGGAACATAAACTGTAGAACAAGCTCAACAAAAGGTTTAAATGAAAGTACAAATTCTTTATTTTTGCTTTATGAAGAAAGAGTTTCACTTGTGAGTGGCAAAAATCTCTGTATCTATACCAAAGTCAACTAGAACCTTTTATTGACAATACAAGGACATGAACACCCTGTGTGCAGACAAAGGAACAAGTGAAATTATGATTGAAATGCAAAATTTTAACCAGTTTAAATTATGCTGTCTTATCATCTGGCTGGAAACTACCCATCATTTCCTCATGATGG